AAGTACTCTAAAACTAGTCTGCTCGTAAGATAATAACTAGAGTAAAGTCCTTCCTAGGATTTACTAGATTCTACTAGTAATTTATAGAAAACTTCTCTAAGACAGCTAAGCCCTTAACTACTCTCTAGAGTCCTGCTACCCTATTTGTATAGACTTTAGAATGCTAACAAGCCTTTAACTAGCTTAGGAATGCCCTACTAGCAATCCTAAGCTTAGCTTACTTCTATCCTAAGTACCCTCTAAAACTAGAGACAGACGCCTCTAATAGAGTTATTGTAGCTATCCTCTTATAGGAGCATCCTAATAGGAAATAGTACCCTATATCCTTCTTTAGTTAGACCCTTACTAGTTCTAAACTTAACTAGGAAATCTATAATAAAGAATTGTTTGCAATAATCTGCGCCTTTAAGAAATAGCGTGCTAACCTAATAAGTACTTAGCACCTTATTAGAGTATATATAGACTATAGAGCACTAGAGTACTTTATATCTACTAAAGTCCTTAGTGCTAGGCAAGCTAGATAGCTAGAGGTTATAAGTCCCTTTAACTTCTAAATTAAGTATACTCCTAGATCTTATAATGCCTAAGTAGATATCCTAAGTAGAAGGGAATAGGATATAATTAACCTTAAGGCTACTTAAAGGGATAATTGTTTATAAGTAATAATTGCCCTAGATAGGTTACACTCCTAAATTAACTCTAACTTAGCGCAAGACTACCTAGCTAAGCATTCCTTACTAATCCTTACTTTAATTATAGTAGTTTAGAACCTTATAACTCTTAGATCCCTAGAACTTATTAAAACTCTTCTCTAAGAGAATAGGTCCTTATTCCTAATAGAAAGATTAGAGTTGCCTAAGCACTATTAGATAGAAAATAGACTCCTTCTCTACTAGGATTAACTTTGCGTGCCTGCTAGATTAGTCCTATATACTAGACTAATTTATAAGGCTTATAATTAAGTATCTACTACCTACCTATTAGCTACTAAAACCTATTAGATTCTAGCCTAATATTACTATTAGAAAGGTATAGAGACTACCTATAAATACTACGTTTAGAACTATATCCTATGCAGGAGAGGGCACCTAAGATAGCACTAACTCCCTAGTATACTCTACCCCCTTCCTATCCCTAGTCTACTAATGCAACACCTGTGTATTAATTTTAAGGATTTTCCCTAGGATTAATATAGTTATAATTAGATTATAGTTATTATTAATTGCTTATTAAAGTAAGCTATTACTATCCCTTGCTATAAAACTATAGACGCCTAAGGTATAGCTACCTTATTTATTTAGTAGGTGTACTAATTTAGATATACTCTAGATACTATTATTTCTAATTAAGGCCCTTAGTTTATATCTAGTTTCTAGTCTAAGTTCTATTAGATTATAGGCACTAAAGTTAAGCTCTCTACTACCTACTATAAATAAACTAATAGACAAACTAAAATTATAAATAAGTATATTAATTAGAGACTAAGGCCTTTTATATCCTATTACTAAGATAACTAGAGTAACCTACTACCTATAATAGACTGTGCCTAAAGTACTCTTCTATATTTATCTATTAGTATAGCTCTATATTAGCTCCTCTTTAGTTCCTTACTAAAGCAAAGTTAGTATTAGAAACTAGAAAAGACCCTATCTACTATACTAGAGAAACTAAACTATAAGGACGCCTTATCCCTTGCTACTTAGATACACAACACCTAGAAGATTACTAAAGAAAATATAGAAAGAGCTTAAGACTAAATACGCTCTACTACTAATTGCTATTACTATCTAGTTAACTAGAAGGTTAGTAACTATATTTATCTATCTACTACTAATCTTGCTATTTTATAACCTAGCTAAAAACTATCTAAATAATAGGAAGGTCCCTTTAAGGTATTAGAATAAGTAGGAAACACGTATTACCTCTAATTGCTACCTAGTTCTAAGATCTATAATGTTTTCTCTCCTAATATACTATATAAAGATCCCTAAGACCTATTACCTAGATAAGAGGCTCTAAAACCCCCTAGTACGCCTATATAAGGTATAGAGGAATAGGAGGTAGAAGAAATCCTAGCTAGTAAATTATATTAATCTAAGCTAAAATATAAGGTTAAGTAGGTTAGATATAATCCTAATCCTATTTAGTATCCTACCTCTAACTTTATAGGTGCTCCCTATAAATTATAAGTATTCTACTAATAGTATCTAAATTAGCTAGGTCCCCTACGCAGCTTACTAAAATAGATTTAAGCCTAAGAAAAGGGTAAGGAGGATCTAATATTACTTTATAATAATTATACCTAATATTAGAACTAATTTATATCCTATTTAGCTATATATTATTTATTAACTACTATCTATTACTATTATTCTTATTACTATTTATTATTATATTCTATTTAGAACTAACCTAGAACCTTTAAGGTTCCTAGGATACTACCCCTAGGAAACCTCTTTATTCTATATCTATCTCTCTATTAAAACCTAGTTTAGACTCTATATTAGCTAAGATAGCGCCTAGACTATCTTTCTTAGCTAGCTTCTAGATAACTAGTGTAGCAGGCTTAGGAGCAGGTGTAGAAGTAGGGATAGGAGCTAGGACTAATTTAGACTCCTTCTTATAGAACACCTTTATCTTAGCCTATACTAGGAAGGTTACCTCCTAATTTAGTGCTAATTCCTTCTTAAGTTTATTAATAGCCCTTATTAAGCCCCTAACTACTAAGACTATCTTATAGATACTATTTTAAAGCTAATATAAATTAGATATAGTAGTATAATAGGTAGCTATAAGGATTTTAGTAGCTTCTATACCCTTAGTTTAAATATTAGTAATAGTAATATACTTAGCTAGGTTTTAGGTAGTTTCTTAAATAGTAGCCTTAAACTACTTAATATCCTTCTAATAAGTAACTATAGCCTCTTTATCCTTATCCCCTTTAGTAGGGTTTCTTATTAGGCTATAGTACTCTTCTAGGGCACCCTTAAGGGTAGAGTACTCTTAGCTAATAAAAGAAGGAATCTACTAGAATTAGTAAAGGAACCCTATTAGACTTAGATACTTACTAGATTGTAATACTTATTCTAGGAGATATAGTACTAGCACTTCTTAGAATTCTTTAACTTAAAATTAAAATTATTAAACCTACCCCTAGCTAGAGCCCTAACTACCCTTATATAGAGAGCGCGATAAGTAATAGGGAAAACTCCTAGTAGTACTAGTACTAGTATAGCTAAAGGTTCTAATTTAGATTAGTAACTATTTAATTATATAGATTAAATACTTACTAGATTTTAGATAGATTAGGTTAAATATTTAAAAAATTAGGGATATAAGAATAAGAAAGTTAGTAGGTAAAGGGCTAGTTATATATAGGCTAGGGATAGGGGTCTATACCCTAGGAAGAAGAAGTAAAGGTAAAGGTAGAGGTAAAGGTAGAATTATTTTGCAAAAAGCTCTTCTTTAATAAGGGATCTAAACCTAATTCTAAGGATAGGGACTATCCTTTCTCTATAGGAGGGGGTAGTATAATAATAAGGTAGAATTACCTACCTATTATTCTATACTAAGTTAGGCCTAATAAAGGCCTAACTTACTAATATATATAGAGAACAGCTCGCCTATAGTTAGGATAGGTATATTCTTCTTATCCTTTTGTACAAGACCTATAGGTGTAGGAATCTTATCCTTTTCTATATAGACGCGCACTCCTATATGCCTTTAAGTTGTATAGGATACCTTTTGGATGCCCTACCTACCTAAGTTATTACACTATAAGGGGGATATATTATAAGTAGGATCTTATATTTATTATAGTACTTAATAAACTCTATTATTATATAAGATCTATAGCTATTAAGGATAAGGAGCTAGTATAAAGTATAAGCTTTAGCTTTTATCTTGCAATTAAACACCTCCTTAAGCTAGGATACCCCTAGGGTATAGCTTATCTACCTACTTAGTAATCCTATAAAGAAAGCTTAGTATTATAATAGGTTAAAATCTTATAACTAGGTATCCTATAAAGCTTTAGATTAAGACTAATAAATAAGGGTAGGGGTAAGAGTAGTACTATTAGCGTATATGCAAGCTATAGTAGTAATCTACTCCCTATTACTATCCTAAAGTATAGCTCTAATCTTTCTCTACTTATAGGCGCTCTTATTAAATATACGTTTAGTTTTTAATAGTACTCTAATAAGAAAACCCTTTTTATTTATATTATAGATATACTAACTTTTAATATTATATTACTCTATTTTTTAGTATAAAAGCTTAAAGTATAAGCTATACTTAAAGGTAGAATTAGCTTTAAAGTAGTTATAATTAAGCCTAGTAGCCTAATAAGAGATAAGATTAATATTATAGCAGTTAATAAAGCACTATACCTAATTTTTACCTACTAGATTCCTTATTATTTTAGTTGCAAAATTTTAAATAATAGTCTATATAGGGGGTAATCCTTACCTATAAAGCTCTTTAATATACTTTATAAGCTTACTTTCTTATATAGTATTAAGTATTTAACTATTTAGTAGAGTAGTAGTATATACTTATTAAATTTTCTAGTAGTGTCTAGATAAGGTTAACTATAAGTAACTATACTTTTCTACTATTTCTAAGTATATAAAATCTTCTCTAAGAGTTAAGGATTTAATTACTATAAGCGTGTTATTAATAGGTGCTATAGTTGTTAAGAAATTTAGTGTTGAAAATTTGGTGATTTTAGTGTTAGTGGGCGCTTGGTGGGGGTGGGCGCTCGGTGGTGGATCACGTTATCTAAGTGGTGATCGTTGAACAGCACCCTGCTTCCGGGCCGCACTGACTCCCGTGCTCAATTTTCTAAACCTTCGACATCATCGCCATCAACGCATCCACGCTTCATACAGCGTGCAGCATATAGCATCCCAAGGTACTTAGAAGTAATCCTTACTTTCACCGCCAAAATTTCGCACGCATTTCCCCCCATCAGTATATTCACATAACACATAATCGAAATGCTGCAAAGAACCATTCTGCGCGCCTCGAGACAGGCTGCCCGCCGAACACCGGCCTTTGCGCCTCTGAGGCAACAATTCGTCGTGTCACGAGTAGCCGCCACACCCGCTATTCGTTGGTATTCGGACGCTGCACCAGCAAAGGAGGGCGAAGCAGCTGAGAAGAAGGAGGGAGAGACTGCCGAAAAGAAGGAGGATGCACCATCCGCGGCAAATGACGAGGCGGCCAAGTTGAAGGAGCAAATAGAGAAGAAGGACAAGGAAATCATTGAGCTGAAGGTACCCATTGCCCTGCTTTACCGCAGCACATGTCCTTGCTGCTACACGGCATAGAACATGGCTTTCTCCAGGAGATATCTAACGCAGTATCCTCCAGGACAAATACCTCCGCTCAGTCGCCGACTTCCGCAACCTACAAGAGCGCACAGCCCGCGAAACGAAAGCCGCAAAGGACTTCGCCATCCAACGCTTTGCGCGCGATCTTGTCGAATCCGTCGATAACCTCGACCGCGCGCTGGGCACTGTGCCTGCAGAGAAGCTCAAGTCAGATAACGCCGATCTGATTGCCCTCCACGACGGTATCAAGATGACCGACACCATCCTCATCAACACGCTGAAGAAGCACGGATTGGAGCGATTCGACCCCTCGGAGACGGGCGACAAATTCGACCCTAATATCCACGAAGCCGTTTTCCAAGCACCACAGCCGGACAAGGAGGACGGCTGCTGCTTCCACACGCAACAAAAAGGCTTCATGCTCAATGGCCGCGTGCTGAGACCTGCAAAGGTTGGCGTCGTCAAGAACGCATAAATTCGCAAAATCAAAAAAAAAAAAACTAAATCCAACAAAAATCCTCGTCGCTACAGAACCCCACTTGACATTGATTGCAAAGCCTGAACAATCCAGGGTACATGGCATCCCCGCATCATAAGCAAATGGCACAAGTGTTCCAACATACGCACAATGCCATGCAGGCTGTTGGGTGGCAAATTTGATATCCGGCGTTTATTTTGGTGTGCATGTACACGCGTACATGGCACGGGCATTTTGTACATATAGTCCCCTCTCTACATAAGGAGCATCCTGGAAAAAAGCAGAAACGGTTGTAAGACTAGTCACGACGGAAACGACATCGCCTCCCCGGTGGCAGGGGGGGGCAAAAGACATGTAAGATTTCAAAAGTACGGTGGTAATATGAAAACGATGAAATACTGTGATTGCATTCGCCACCTCTTTCTCTGAATTTCTCTTGCTGCCCCTCCCCGCCCACACCCCAGCCCCGTCTCTCATCAGAACTAGGTAGTCTAATATTGTGTATGCCACCGCAACCGCAAGTACTCTGGAAGGGCTTTGTCAATCTGCGACGCCGCTACCTTTGAAACGCCATTCCATGCAGTGATTTTTTTAACAATCCAAAAGCGCCCATCATCACAACACGAGCATGTCGGTCCCTTGACTCTCCTACCAAGGCTGCCCAGCTGTACCATACGGTGTAGCCCCATAAGGCGTCGTTCCACCCTGCGCGGCCGCACCTCCCCACGCGCTAGCACCACCATAGCCACCCGCAGGCGTGTATCCGCCATCAGCGCCGCCATAGCCAGCCCCATTCAGTGTCGGGCTCTGCGCACCGCCAAAGTCGACACCGTCTGCGCCTCCGCTGCCACCGGTGAGTTCTGCGATGATGCCCGCGAGCTTGTGTTGAAGGACTGTGATGCCTTTGCCCACAATCTGGTCTGGGTCGAGGCCACCGACGGTTTCGACGTCGTAGAAGAAGCGCGTGGGTGCGGCGTTGTAGTCAAAGGGTTCGTCTGGGTTTGCGGGACCGCCGTCAAGGTTGATGCGATCTTCGTCTTTGGGCCTGTTGGCTTTGTGTTAGTCCGGCGTTTCTTCCTTGGTTGTCATTGTGAGTTTTGTAGGGAAGAGGTAACGTACCATTCTTTATCTGGGTCCTCCTCATGCCAGTAATCCAGATGATGTAGCTTGTTCGCCGGGTCATATTCAAAGCCAATGGCCGCGCTGGGTGCCCACTTTGCATGTTCCTTTGCGATCCCCTTCTTCGCAATACAGCGCATGTGAATCGCCTGGCCCCTTCTCAACTTGACTATACAGCTCCCTGTTCCATCCGCATCTGTGATTACCGGCCTGCCCACCTCATCATTTGGCGTCATGCTCTCGACCACCAGATCCCGTGCATACACCTTCATGATTTCATTGCCCGTGCATTTAGCGTTCAGCGTAAGAACCACTGAGCAGTTACTGCAGTAGCCTTCACAGTCACAGTCGCGTGAGTAGAGCAGGTCATCTACGCCTTTTGAACACAGGGGGATGAGGCCGAGGCGGTGACAAACGAACTCGTCGGCGAGCACAGAGGTGTTGTCGAGGACTTCTACAACATCGATGGCAAGGGTGGGGATCTCGGAGAGCATGACACGGCGCAGAGAGTTTGCAGTTTCGAGGTTGAAGTTTTGGACGATGAAGTGCGCACGTTGGTTGTCGGCCTAGAGTGGATAACCTGGTCAGTTCTCCAGTACCCCGTTGTGATGTCTGCCTTCAATCTGAAAGCAGATGAGAATCTTGGAACAGGAGCATCTCGTGCGCACAAGCTCCTAGTCAAAGCGCGTGAAAGTCAAGAACAAAGCAAGACAGCAGGCAACGCACCTGCAAGAAGCGCACGTTGATTGCGCCGCCTTCAGGATCGTAGTCCATCGTGTGGGTAGTGGAGCAGACGCGCGGACAGAGCCTGGGACGAGTTTCAGAGGTTGAACCTAGATTTCAGAGCGATTAGATTGGGAGAGGCAAAGGCGCAGTTTGTATAGGCGAATGTGGGGTTGTTGTTGCGTATGTGGGATGTCGACTTGTCTACTGCCGCGGTCGAGATTCTTTGAAGTGAGAGAACGCGACAGTCGGCTAAGCTTGATCCGGTGCAGCCTCATCTTGCGCCACATCTGCGCCACATCTGCGCGAAATGCTGAAAGATTGGCATGCGCACTCGGGCTTGTAGAGTGCCGTTCTATTGAGAGTCCACAGGGGGGTTTTTTTTTCATTATTGCACGAGACTGTCCGATTTGATTTCAGGGGAAATGTCTAGAATCGCTGCTATCTTTCATCTTTAGCATGGTTGCTCACCTCGGTTGGACCATGGCGAACGACGCATGATCCAGAGTATACATCAGCTTAACTAATCAGCCGCAGCACATCCATCTCCCCGTAGCATTCAGTGTTAGAAGCTCAAACCTTGGGTGATGTGACTCTTTCTCCACTTGCGGCATCCCACGGCCCCTCTCACGCCCGTAGCTCAAGAAACTTTTGAGGGCGTGACTGGCGCTCAGCCTCGCACACGCACTCGACCACGGAGACAGGATGTCATGCATGCCCTCTGGACTGCTTCCTGATTACATAACGTGACACTGTGATTACAAGCATGGAAGGACTGTGCAAGAGATGCTTGGGCCAGGAAAGTAAGCCAACGTTCCGACTCTTGGTTGGGTATAAGGAGCGGCTAACTTTGATGTCCCTACTGGACGTTCAGGGTTCTGTTGCGAACTTGTAGGCAAAGCGACAACTTGCTACGTTAAGGGTTACCTACTTACTCCATGTACCCAATCTGATAGTTGGACATGAACATAAGCGGCAGCTGGGCAGTATAGCATGATCATAGTGCTGAAATTCTAGCCATTCAAACTGCCAAGTACTCGAGAGGGACAGGTCTCCGCTTCCAAGGTTTGCACATGGACTACGATTGTGCTAAGTACTTCTGTCCTAGGATAAGCCGGATACCAAATCCAAAGCTTGCATGTGGTTAATCACTAACTAGGCGACACATGAAGTCCCGGCTTAGTCACGACAATGCTGTGCTGTTTCTTCGAGCCCACGCTCAACGGGGCGCTCATTCGTCACGGGGCGTAGACATTTCTCCTTTACGGTACACTGCGCACTGCGATGTTGGCCAGGTGAGTCCCCATGGATGTGTTCCGCCGAGGTGCGGAGATCCCTTGATGCACAGTGCATCGAGCACCTGGGCAGTTGTGTGTATGTGTTGAGGGGTGGAGAGGGGGCAGTGCTGGCCGGCACGCAGGACGTCTGGCTTGTCTGGTTCACTTAGTCCAGGGACTTGCATGCGTCGAAGAGCTGGCCTTGGCGTTGGGGGGCAGTGCTCGGCTCCCGAGGTCGATGGTTGCGGAAGCATGACGACCGAAGGTCCAGTCGCATCGTGAATATAAGTCACACGCTGCACCTGCCAGGCCTTGACAACTCACCACCCACACTCTACCTACCCAGCTTGCCCAACTACCCAAACATCATAACATACAGTATCTTCTGCACGCATCGATCCATGCTCGCAACCATGAACATGCAGGCCACTCTACCGTCTCCGCAGCGGTCGCGAGCCTCATCGCGCTCCAAATCGCCACTATCTATCGACCTTTCAGACCTGCCACCACTGGTCGAGCCATCGCCACCTTCAAACACTCTGATCATTACCGTATGTCTTCTCTACCAACCTCTATCCGACCGTCGTACTAATACAACACAGAACCTTCTTGCCCCCGAGATCTTCCAGTTCTCAACACTCACCGAGATCCGCGAGACAATAGACCAACATGCAAAAGTCCACACTTGGGCTCCTCTCAAGTCCTTCCGCCGTATCGTAGTATCTTTCTTCGACGTCGACTCTGCGATCCAAGTCCGCCAAGCACTAGATGGCGAGCAACTTATGGGCTACCGCATTCGGGTGTACTTTGGAATGAACACGCCACTGAACCCCACCGACCAGCACCTTGCGCTTCCACAATCCGACCGACTCTTTTTTATCTCGCCACCACCATCGCCCCCCATGGGCTGGGAAATGAAGCAGGAAGATGCGCCGAACAAGCTTGTCCATGCTGAGGATCTTGCAGCAGCACTGGCACGCCTACATGCGACACCAAAGGACGACCCATCGTCGCCTACTTTCGACCACAGCGGCCCCTCAATCACTAGACGGCGCACTGGAAGCACAACAGTTGTGTACCACCCAGAAGACCATGGCGACTCACCGAATCTCCCCGCTATATCAGTCGAGGACACGACTGAGACACCTGAGCCCCTGACGCCTATCGACGCAATGGAGGGCGTTGAAGGACCTATTGCGTCTCAAAAGGCACAGGGTAAGACCGTCAGCACATCGCGGCCTCCGATTGAGTTCATGGAGTAGGCTATAGATCAGTTTTTTTTTCCTTTCTTTCTCTTGGTCTTTACCAAAAGCATCCAATTTCAATCAGGAGCGCTGCATTTCACGGCGTTTGGGGCTAGGTCATCAACAGGGGGTCTTCTACTTATCGGGAAGAGGCGTTACTAGCGAGCCTTGGTGTCACTAGACCTGGATATATGAGCTCGTAATGGTCACGATCATGGTGATGACTAAATTAGCAATTGAACATGTTCATACAGTCATATGTCTTCTCCCGCTATCTGACCTGGTTACTCAAATGGCGATTGCAATCTTAGTAGCTTTGCCACAGCCATTTCATTTATGAGCCTAGAAACTCTAGAGTCATCACGCAAGGTTCAAATCTGTCCATCGAATGAACAGGACTCATCTGAAACTCATCCAAGTCCTTGTATTTTCATCTGTGTCGATTCGACCAAGTGTTTTCGCGACATCTCAGCCGTACTGGGCTCACGCGGCGCTAAGCGACCTGGAATGTTGAGCGCGCCAGCACGTGATTTGCCAAGACTTCGGCAAAACAGTTTCTCCCTCGCCCGCCCACTGCTCCCGCTTAGCGAAACTCGAAAAACATTCGTGAATGAATCTCAAGGTCCGACCCACGACAATCTACTAACGTTGCAGCTTCCATTCGCCATCACGACGCCGCAGTCAAGATGAAGCTCAACATCTCCTACCCCAACAATGGCACCCAGAAATTGATCGAGATTGAAGATGAGCGCAAGCTCCGCGTCTTCATGGACCGTCGCATGGGTCAGGAAGTTCCTGGCGACAGCGTCGGCGATGAGTTCAAGGGCTACATCTTCAGGATCACCGGCGGCAACGACAAGCAGGGTTTTCCAATGAAGCAGGGTGTCATGCACCCTACTCGTGTCCGTCTGCTCCTCGCTGACGGCCACTCCTGCTACCGCCCTCGTCGCACTGGTGAGCGCAAGAGGAAGTCCGTCCGTGGTTGCATTGTCGGCATGGACCTCTCTGTCCTCGCCCTCAGCATTGTCAAGAAGGGTGACGAAGAGATCCCCGGCATCACCGACACCGTCCACCCCAAGCGCCTCGGACCCAAGCGTGCCACCAAGATCCGCCGCTTCTTCGGTCTCAGCAAGGAAGATGATGTGAGTTCTCTCATAGCTTCTTCGCCAATCCTGCTCCTCGTAGCGGATTGAGTCTGAGCTAGATCCTTTGTCTCGTAAGAGACGTGTATAGGTTTGAGACTAATCCATGTAAATCTAGGTCCGCAAGTTCGTCATCCGCCGTGAAGTCACGAGCAAGAAGGAGGGCGCGAAGCCATATACCAAGGCCCCCAAGATCCAGCGTCTGGTTACTCCTCAGCGTCTCCAGCACAAGCGCCACAGGGTCGCACTCAAGCGCCGCCGTGCGGAAGCTTCCAAGGACGCTGCCGTATGTCATCCCATACCCGAAACAACACCTAAATCGGATCGATACTAACTAGTGACAGAATGAGTACGCTCAGATCCTCTCCAAGCGCATCAGCGATGCCAAGGCCGCCCACGACGAGGCCCGCAAGAGGCGTGCTTCTTCCATGAGGCATTAGAGGATGTTTTCACCATGAGGGCATGATTGGGTCGTGAAATAGTTACATTGGCGTCGGCACGAAAATATGGTGTGGGCACCTTTATCTGAGTGAACAGTTCGGGATTTTATCAGCATAGGCGCTTCTCATACCAGTGTCTGCTCAGAGCAGTTGTCTCAATAAGCAATTGCATTACTTCACGACCTGTTCCGTTCCTTGTCTCCAATTATCTCTCCTCAAAAACATATTGCTATAACCCTCACCATATATGCACATCTGTTTGCAATGCTCATGTGCAATTTACTACTACGAACTAGGTACCTTTGGCGAAGCAGGTCACGCCTTTCTCATCTTATCACGGGTTCCTCTCTGTTGACACCGTGCGAGCTTTCCAACAGATCACCTTCCCCTAATAGACCCCCTATGCCAGACGACAGAAGATCTCCCGAGCATACGGTCCCTTTTCTATCCGACCAAATCTCATGAAACCTAATAGCCATGTCGCTCGCCGCGACAACAATACAACCTTCTTGAATGCCCCGTCTCGACCACACACCATCTTCCCCTCTCGCACTTGCACTGCTCCCGCCCGTATCAGCGTCATCCCCCTGCGGCCCACTCGTCGGCCCCCCAGGATACGCCACCGCACAAAGCGCACGATTTTCATCCCACCATGGCACAGCGACGACCTGCTCGCAGCTCGGCCATGCAAACACCGCAACACGATACGGGTGCTCAGGTTGCGTAAACCCAAAAGTAGCAGCAATTTCGCGCCTCGTCTGCGACCAGATGAGGCTGGTGACCTGAGCGGCGCAGTCGATGGTGGCCAGACAGGCGCCCGATCGCGTATGATAAAAGTAGATGCAGCGATCGTTTGAGCCCCCACTAACGGCGATGAGACTGCGTTGCCATGGACAAAAGGCTATTGCTTTTACGGCGGCGTTGAGAGTCCATTTGTGTTTTGCAGACGTCTGGGGGACGCGTGGGACAGGGGATGGGCGGCTGTTGACGGTGTAGATTGATTCGCCCGAAGGGCCTTCGCGAACGTCGACTGTGGTGGAGAGATGATGGCGGTCACGGTCGTGAGTGGAGGACTGCGAGACCTTTTTTGTTTCAAAGAGGTAGCAATTGTTGTCGTTGCCGCCACTTGCGAAGAGCTCGCCATCCACGGACCAAGCAAGGCCGCATATTTGCTGGGTGTGAATTGCAAGACGAGCGAGAAGTATCATGGCTCCATGCCAGGCGAAGATGGCACTTTGTGTTTCCGAGGGCCATTCGATGCTGTAGATGTATATATGGCCTACCTCATCGCCAACCAGAAGTTCTTCGGTCTGGACATCCATTGCTCTATCACGCTGCGAAGGTCGCAGGACAGTAGTCGGCCTCCACGATAGACATGAGACTGGCTTAGGCTGGCTCGCATCGAATCTCGGTTCAGAGTCGAACGAACTCCAAAGTGATATGCGACCATCGGCTCGGCCTACAGCAAGAATGGCTTGGCCGCCTTGAACCGATGAGAAGTCCAAGCACGTAACGTGCTGTATTTCCGCAAAACCATCATCTGAGATGACGTTGAGTGACTCGGGTGTCTCCACGCCGCTTCTTTCTGACCAAAGATGGACAAAGTTCCCCAGACCTACCGCGAGGCATTTCGAGGTGTGACAGTAAGCTAGCAAGGTACAGTAATAGTCATCTCGGAGCTGAGGAGCATCGAGAACTGTATACCAGATTAGTAGGACCAAATTGTCAATCACATCTGATACATATCTGAATGGTAGAACCGGCACAGGTCTTTGCGAGGTTTGATGCAAGCGGCGATTAGCTTCAAAATCTCATTAGCATCGACATCAATCATCTCAAAATTTGAAAAAAACAAACGCGAATTAACACCATCTTTAATCCAAACTCCATCGCGCCAAACATGCTTTACATGTGACGAAAGGAGGCTGCGGCGCATTCTGGGACTCGTCTCTGCTGGTGAGTGTTGCAGGATACGGTCAGTCTGATCAATGTCAAGCGCCAATGCAAGGCGGCGCTCATAGGCTTCAAGTTCAGCTTCTGGATCTACCCTGTTAAGAAAGGCAGACCGATACAATGGTGCATTCGTGCCACGACCAAGCATACCGCCTCTACCAGTAGAGACAGCTACTACTGTGTCGCTCACAGCGGAGGGCCCGCCGACGTTCCAAACCGCCCCAGCACTTATTTGACGTGCGCCTAGTGGGGTAGAGCCTCGTCTAAAGTGGTTGTTCCTATCGCGTGCACTAGCTCTTCCAACGATGGCAGAGTGTGCTTCTTGGAGACCTCTCAGCTCATTAACTAAGCGTCCACTCCGGCGAAGTCTTCGGCTAAATGCATCAGGATGCGAGCGAGCACCGTGCTGTGACGCTCTCTCTGACTCGAGCCGGTGAAGATGCCTGTTAAGTTTAAAGCTATCCCGCGTGACGGCAGGTGGGCGACGACTGGCAATAAAACGATCAGGCGTGCTTGTATCAATCCGGCTGGGTGTCGATAACAGGCAACCCCTTGCAGCATACTGATTTGGTCTGAGCGGGAAAGAGAGGCAACGAATTGATGAGCGGCAAGTATGAGCTAGCGAAGCTTCTCCAAGGACAACACCAGCATTAGATAGTATATCGTCGAGATCTTCGGCTGCAAAAGCCCCAGCGTCGTTCAAAGTAGGAGAGTGGGAACGACTCGTTTGTGTCAGGAGACTTTCAGAGACATTTGGACCGTTACGCTGTAGATATCTCGTGTGCGATTCGTGCGGCAGTTGACCATCCTCCTGGAGTTCGAGTTCACTTGATGGAGCGGGTGATTCGACTTCCAATCGCTTTCCAAGTTCAGGCGTTGAATAACTATGCGAGCGACCGGTTGCACCGTGCTGGCAGGAATGAGATGTCGATCTATTGTAAAGGTGCCTAGCCTTCGTGGGCGAGCCGTCTTCCATATGTGATGAAGTCGATTCGAATGTAGCCAGTAGCTCTGGTATTGAAAGCACACCGAGATCTGCTTTGGGCTTCAATTTGGCAGGAGAATGGGGAGGAGTGATGAAAGGATTGTCGCCCATGTCGCGTACAAAAACACAGCTGCGAGTCTTGCGCGGGGAGCCTGGTGTGCGAGGTGAGAGCCATCCTTCAGTGCTGATGGTTTTCGTGGGAGACAAAGGCGGCGTGATGTATCCAGAATCATGCGAGAATGCGTTATCCTCGTCTGAATCGCACATCTTGAGAGCCTTGAGATGGGTGAAGTAGATGCTCAGGTGACCAGCTTCAGCGCATGTCGAATGTTAGCCACAAATTCGAGGTAAAGGTAGACGGCGAGCAGTTTATTGCCTACTGCTGTGCGATCACTGCTGCTAAGTTAGTAATGATGGTGGGTTGCTTAGGTTCTTGCAGAGCACAGGATGTACCTAAGGTCAGTGGTGTTACAGTAACGGCAGCATCCCTGGAGGGGTGACGTCGGGGCAAGAGCCAGCCCCACGTGCAAGCTAGTTAGTAGTGGGGCAATGTGATTCCGAGGCTACGATATGGAAGTCACAAACATACCACGTATTCAAAGTGGGAATGGCGAGTGTATGTCCAAGCCAGACAGTCCTTTCAGTGGCAACCGCTGACAGGAAACAGCACGGCATATCACGCGGATCAGATCCCGGTGTCCGTTCAGAAGAGGCGCGACAGAAGGAGCTTGACCGCATCAAGGACTACACAGGGTTAGTAGAACTTGTGAATGCAAAGGTAAGATCACCTAGTGTATGAAGGGTACATAATGTTTGACAATCATGATGTAGATTGCGGAGAAGCAGTACAGCATCGATGCTCTTGGATTGATCACAAAACTTCTCAATGAGAACCCCGAGTATTACACGATATGGAACCACCGAAGACGCGTACTACAATCTCTGGTCGCCGGCGAAGCTGAACCAGCGGATGATTTGTTACAAGGTGATCTGCAGCTCACATTTTCGCTCTTACGCAAATTCCCCAAATGCTACTGGATATGGAATCACAGGAACTGGCTCCTCCAACAAGGTGAAACACTATTGGGTCGCGAGGCGGCGAGCAAGCTTTGGTCAGGCGAGCTACAGTTGATTGGGAAGATGCTACAGGCTGACAGTCGCAATTTCCATGCGTGGGGCTACAGGCGAATTGTAGTGGCACAGCTTGAGCGCCTGGCAGATGCCTCCCTCAGCACAGACTACACCTCAGCTAGTCTCACAGAGTCTGAGTTTGAGTATACCACCAAGATGATCAAGACGAATCTGTCCAATTTCTCTGCATGGCACAACCGTAGCCAGCTTATTCCTCGCCTTCTCAAGAACCGAAAGGCAGATCCACAGACACGCAGGGCATTCCTCGACTCAGAGCTCTCTCTCATCTGTGAAGCCATCAACACCGACCCCTTTGACCAATCCATATGGTTCTACCATCAACACCTCCTTTCAATCATGTCACCATCGTGTCCTCGTCATCAGCTTATAGTAGAGGACCTGACCAATGGCGAGCGACAGAGCTACTACGAGCATGAGATGAAGTACATCCGAGAGATACTCGAGGATGAAGCAGACTGCAAGTGGATATACGAGGCGCTACTCGTACTCGCAGAAGCATGCTTGGAGACCGATGCTGGAACTGGTTCCTTCACAACAAAAGACATGCGTATATGGTTAGATGCGCTGAAACGTCTCGATCCGCTGCGAAGAGGGCGATGGTGTGATTTGGAGGCTCGGCTCGGGTTGTGAAAGCAATCAAATGTAGCATCATTATGGCTTGCCCTTCAAGTCGGTACTGTTCTCTTTCGATGGTGGGGTCGTGGCAGTGGTGGAGACGGTGGTGTTCTTGCTATCCTTACTCCAAGCCCAAAGTCCCAGCATTGATGACCACGATGCCGATCCAGAGGCTTTCACTTCATCTTTGGGAGACAACTGCTCTGGAACTGTGGGGGGTGTAGCGCTTGGGGAATTCGGCGAAGACTCATTCTGCAGTGAACCTGCAGCAGCCATCTCTCTGATGCCATGTGTGAGTGAAAGCCTACTGAGGATGATCTGAGCTTTCATACCGTTTGTACTCTTCTTCCAATCTGCGCCTCCTCTGCTCCTTGAATTCCCCATCGAAAGTCGCAACCCCAATTGATATTCCCAAAACTGTCGCCAACGCGATAGGAAGGATACGTCCCGCCATCTCTCAACTCTGTCTCAGTGATTGCCTGTTGGTGCGCGTGACAAACGTATGACGATATGAGCCAAATGGATCAAATGCGGGCAGTGCGGGCAAAAGTGCGGAGGTCTTCTCATTTGCGCGCTAAGGAAGCACAGACAGACGCGTCGTGCCGATCTGAAGACACGCGCTCAAACACGACTTCGACTACTCCCACCCCGCCGCCTTCAGCCCGCAATACGACATGCAGACGCGCCCCAATGTCCAGATGGCGTCAGAAAGGATTTGTCCAGGACTCGGATGAAGAAGAAGAATCTCAGATTGAGTCTCAAGCTTCATCAAAGCAGAATGCACATTTAGGTGCGCATATCGACCGTGACGGCAAAGTCGAGGAACCTGAAATAAGGCCCGATGGAACAGGAAATGGTGGCCAAAACATTCTATGTGTTGATACTCAGGCGATTGGGAGCTTGGAGGAACCAAAGAGGCACAGCGAGCGGACTGCTACGCCTACGAAACCCACTTCACAGCATCGCCCCACGCCTTCGCCATTCACGCCAGGACCCTCACTAGCGATAGGACGCGGACAGACGGACTCTCCTGACCCGCTACAAATTCCTCTATCGCCGAAAAATCTAAAAGTAGCCGCAGCAGTATCCTCGCAGCTTCTAGGCTCGCCTACCGTTTTGCGAGAGGGCAGTTCATCAGCGCCAGGATGCGAGAATGCTAATTCTTCTCAGATCTTAGGGGAGACCCTAAGAAAATCTCAGCCAACCAACAAAAGAGATGTCAGCAATTCCACTGTGGACGTCCTCGGCAAGTTCGGTATTGCTCCTTTGTCAGATGAATCAGACGACGATGTCCTCTCAGACCCTCCGTCTGACTTGGAGTCACCGCCTACTCGTGTGGCTTTTGCCGAACCTCATAGACGGACCGCCGTACAGGTAGTCATACCATCCTCTACAGCCCTGCAACGTCACCTTACAGAGCAGGCATCGAGGCGGGAATTCCGTCAGCGAAAACCTATACAGCTGCATCCGTATGCACTCGAGGGAGAACTATATCGAAGGGAGGTTCAAAGTCGAGGTCTGAAGCCTGTAGCTAGAGCACGGTCTCCACAACGTCAGGTTACGGGTTATGATGGAGAATCTCAGGAAAAGAATTTCGACCCCAACGAAGCTCCCTCGAGCAGTCCACCTGAACCGGAGATTCCAGTTTCCACACCTGACGTCTCTCGACCAAGATCGCATGTAGAGCCAGGGAATTTGAACCGTCGTCCTGCATTGAACTCTACACGGCGCCTAGCTTCATCCCAGCTCCGTCTTCCCCCAGCGACAAAGCGACAGGGAACAAACTTCTCGTCGACAAAGGTCGTCTCAGAGCCTCCGAGAACGGATGAGTCTCCCATGCCACGAAATATATGGGACATCCCCCTTAATTCGCCGCCGGGTTCGAGTAGTCCTCCTTTGCCTGGCAATGGCGCCATTCGTAGACTGGGCCGTCCTTCTTTTACTGCGCTAGTCCAGAATCTACCCACCCCATCCACGTCTTCCGTCTTTCAAGACGATGCTCGCCCCACACCAGAGGAAGATTCGGATTCTGTACCTCGCACTGTATCGAGGTCCGGTGGCGAATTGCGCAGACCTGTGAGAATTATACTCAGTGATAGTTCGTCTTCTGCTTCAGAGGCACCCAGCGAACCGGAGGATATCGAATTGCGAAAGGTCAGTCGGAAAATAAAGGGTGTACTTCCCGCGTCATGGCTACGCTTGGACAAGGAGACACAAGAACGCCGCAAGGCTCAGGAGCGAGATCGACAACGATCTCGAATGGATGCTCTGCAATCTCCTGAGCTGTCTGAACCTCAAAGAGGGGTTGCTCAAAGAATTCATAGGCCAGCTGGTCGATCACAAAGACATGGACCAATTAGTCCTCGGTTTAATGACATCCTGATGATATCTGATGACTCCGACAACGAGCCTATGACACCTGGAATACAACACGCACAAGAGATGCACGAGACTGCGAAAGCGGACTTGGCACTCGCTGCAATATTCGATGATCGTTATGCTGCAGATAATTTGTCTGACATGGAGAATGATCGATTGCACCTACCCACGCTTGGAGGCGCTGGCAACAAACGGAAAAGACAAACGAAAATTACAGATGCATTACGAGGCAAAAAGAGAAGAAAGCAATCTGGGGGTATGACAAGTACCTCAGCTCTCGTGAAGCATACGCTTGACAGGCGACCGCAAAAGAAGAAGTGCCGGACCAATGCACTACGTCGACCTCCGCCGCCTGCCATGAGTATTGTTGACATACATCTTTCCCCGACGAAGCGCCCTGGTAGTGAGCCGCAGTTCTTGAAGATAGCAAGGCGTCAGGCGCTACGCAGGCCAGATCTGGCTCGCCAAAGTCCGGATACCAAGCAAATACGATTACACAGCGCTCAAGATACAGAAGAGGCCAATCTCACACTTCGTAATTGGCGTGAAGGAATCTTAAAGCCGAGGCCAGTTGCGACTACAGAGAGCTATGTGGGAAGACAGCCACTAGTGCATAATAGTGGAAACAAGCAAGCCTCACATGGGCAGTCAACAGCGGACACCAGTTCGGTAAAGAGCCTCGATCAGCGATCAGATTTTGGCTCGGAAGTCTCTCGAGCTCGAAAACGCGCGCCTCTTTCTCATGGTCTGATCAAATTCAAGCGAACTGGCACTCTCAGATCGCAGTCGTCGCGACACAATAAGAAAACATGGGGAACTCACCAGAAACGCTCTCATGCACTTATCCCTGCCTTCAGGAATGCACAGCTGGAAGGTGAAGAGAAAACTTTCAGTCGTGACCATCGCAAAATTGCCTTTGAGCACGGTTTGCGACGAGCTGATCAGCAGTTTGATCTTCCTCCACCCCCAGAGAGATTCCATATGAACCCGCAGCTTGCCCGATATCTTGCAGATGATGACGCGGTTCTTCCGCCATTGCCAACAACCGCAAGTATAGGAGAGCCGGATGCAAAAACTTCCGAGAAACAATTAGCGCCAAAGAAGCGCTTAGTCCGCAAGCGTCTCGCCCAAAGAATTGATGTGGAGACTCGGGAGTATCGCCAGCCGAGCGAGCCTGCCATACAAGAAATTTTCGATGCAGTTGTCCCCAACCCCCAACAAGCTCTCGAGCGGGAAATTGAGTCACTTGTACTTCAGGGCCTCGGTCCTCATGGGACACGGTATCCCATCACATTTGAGATCCATTCTCTCGCATCCGGGACTTATTTTCATTCTTCGACGTTCGTTGGATCTGATGGGTTTCGGCGAGCTTTGACGACGGGGAAGCCAGATGGGCGCGACTTGGACGAACCAGCGGGGTACTGCACATTCAGATATGGTGTATTACCCATCAAATTTGGTCCATGGGGTGATGAAACCTGTTCCCAGATACAAAATCTAGCGAGCAATATCTTTGCGCCCTTCGACGTTCACACCTCCACCTCGGAAGAGCATGTGCAGCCTTCTGAAGATACCCTGAACCACGCAACCCAGTTCTTGAGGACATTAATAGGCTATCTATCTGATCATGTTAGTTTTCCGGATCCTGTTGACCGCAAAGGTTTCGTTGAAAGAATGTTACCCATCATTCAGAGTCTATTTCACAGCGTCTTGAATACCCAAGGTTTTGTGAGCTTACAAGAAGCTGTCACAGATAGTGAATGGAACCGGAACATTATTCGCATTATGGCATACCTCCTCGTCACAACTATGCAAGTATACCAAATCGCCCAACACCCCCTCGTTGGCTCGAACGGCCATGGTTCAGCCACGTCGTTGATCAAAAGTCTCTCAGGCGCCATTGTGGCCCAGCTCATCGAGCGGGGTATCCCTGAGCTGAGCGCCTTTCTTGAAGGCAACAAACGACATGCGATCCGGGAGAATGGCGTGCAAGACTCGGATCTGCTCGTTGAGTGTACTGTACTCTGTATGCACACATTAGAAGGTATGAAAATACCACAATGTGGGTTTTGGGACATCTTCGGTGCACAGCTTTCGTCAAAGGTCTCTGAAGTGACTCATGTGGCTTCATTTGAGGCAACCTGGGCCACAATATACACCCTTCTACCATTCAGTGAGATTGATGTCTCTGGAATACCCATACGGAATCGTCCGGCTGTGCGAGCTGAGAACTGGATCTGCGTAAGAGACCTCCTGAAACGCCTCTACGAACTATACCCTGCGACCAGTAGGAGACACGGCACTTCGATCAATGAATATGTCCGAACAACCCTAGCACGCTGTCACAGACTAATCAAATACTGGCATTGGGAGCACCCTGAGCATATGCTGATCACCACCTTTGACTTCTTTGGTCAAAATGGTTTGCGGCAACTGCGACATGAGGCCAGCAAAGGTTCAGCGTCGTTTTTAGACCATCTATCTGTCGAGCAATCGTTGGGGCTTGAACCCAACGAGTCCGGATTTCACGTGGCACTAAAGTGTCTTGCGTTAGGTCTTCAAGGCATGGGGAAATCATATGCTGAGAAGAAAATTCGGAGCTTCGTTTTTCGCACAATACCTAATCATGGCCGCGGTTACCCAAAGGATCAAACTTTAGAGGAAGAAAGTCTGGCGGCCCTCCGCAACCATCACGACCTCCTCTCTGTGCTTTATTGGGCAGCTCCAGCACCGTGTCGACCTAAGCTCAGTCACATACGGGACCTTGTGAACCATGAGACTTCTCACCGCGAAGCTTGCAGGCTCAATGTACGCGCTTGGGCTAATCTTACAGCATTTCAGCTATCAACTGAAGAACCGTATGTGGCAGCGAAGCCTTTCGCCCTCTGGTTTAAAGATATAATGCATCAAAGCTTGAAACAATACCGCCTGGCAAAAACAGAAGCTGATGATTATATGAAGTCCGGAGTCCTAGATGGCACAACAGATGTGTCTGCAGTTATGGTCCGACAGATGATGGAGAAGAACCAAGAACAAGTCATTGCTACTTTGCGAGACTGCATGGCAGGCATGCGGAAATCTATCAAGACCGCCAGGGACCCTGCATGTTTAGCTGCCTTCCTTCGAGATACTGACATTGTGCACCTGCTTGAACTGCCGCATCTCCAGGATCGCCGCTTGATCAATGTAATTATGGATGCGCTAGCAATTTTCAGAGATTACGCGGCAATGCAGAAAGTGGCTGCAAGCGTTAAAGAAAGCCAAACAACGAGTGAAGAGAGTCAAGACTATGGTGACTTCCCAGATTTGGATGACTTTGACGATCAGGATTCCAAGACTCCAGACGAGACGGTCACGCAACCCGGCTTAGAGTTCATTCAGACTCCTCTTTGGCATTTGCTGTCGAACGCGTTTGGTGCAGACAGGGCTCCAGACGAGAATCTCCTTATGGACTGTGTTGTCACATGGATATCCGTTGCCTCAGCTCAAGTTACTTCAGGCCAGCGGATGTGGTCGGATTATGTCGACTCTTACAGCCCAACTTCTTGGATGCAATTACGCCAAACAGAACAGACACGCAAATTCGAACCATACTATATGGCTGCTCTTATCGACAGTGATTCCAAAGTCTACGAAGAGCACCGTCATGAGCTCATCAAGGCTATGTTCCTGTCTCTGGTGGAGCGAGAGTCGATGCTCCGCTTCCAGCATCTCCTGCTGGCTGCCATTCTTCGAATTGATCATCACCATCCGCTACTGCATAATTTGCCATATTTTCGTCAGCAGGACACCAGTGACTTCGATGTCTCTGCGGAGACACTGCGTAATCGTCGCCTGGCTCTGATCTCGAGCATCTTGTCCAACATGCGAGATGATATGCACGCTACGACACGAGGCAATCCTGCCAGCGCCCCCCACATGAAGCGGGCGTATGCTACGATACTGAAGGACTTCATGACGACCATGAAGTTTAATTACCAGCAGCTTCAGCAGGGCGCGACTGTTACTGGCGCATATGTCGAGTTTGTGCAAAAGGTTGTCCAGTTCCTGAAGCAGTATACAAACGACATTTGTCCTGTTTTGCCCTTCTTCACAGACTCAGTCGCATTTCCGCTACCGGCTGGAGATCCCACGTATGTTGTCGCTCGCTTATGTGGTTATGCACCCAAAGTCCATGATTCGGGGACTGCAAAGCAGCTCTCGGTCTTCATACAGACGGTGGCACAGCAAGCAGCTGCCGACAACCACCAGTCGTATCTGGTCAACCAGCTCATCACCGCTCTGTGCACAGACGAGGCGCCCGCCGCGGATCGAGAGGCTTTGCGTCATACGTTGCTCCAGGGCATCTTCCCGGCGTATTTGGAGGAAGCATTTGCAACAAGTACAAGCTTTCTCATCGCGCAGCCACTGCTACGAGCTCTGCCTTCCATACTGGATTCAATGATCTTTGACCTGCGGATCATGCAGCCTTCCAGTCTCTCTTCAACGACTGCGTCCATCATAGCCTTCTCGCACGCCTTCATCCGTGGCAGTGAATGCATCAAGGACAAACCATACATATTTCGCGAGCCCCACATACTCTCAACGCTATCCTACATGCTAGAGGCCATGACATCCGTCGCACCGCTGCTAGACTACATCTGCAGTCGTCTCACAGCGAGCACAAACCCCCCAAAACCAAGCATAGTCACCTACATGGAGCAGCTCGGCACTTTCATCACCGAAATGCTACAAGATCTACTGCCCACCACCATTCCAATCTACGAAGGCGACGCACATGCCCCATGCGCCGACTCCTCGCGCGATGATCTTTTGGCCTTTTGCAAACGGGGACTACAGGATGGGCTGAAGCGGAATTGGAGCGAGAGTCGTGGCGGGATATGGTTTGGCCAGGGACAGGCGCGACGAGAGGTTTTGTTTGATGCTGGGTTGCTGGAGGAGGAGAGGGCGAGGTTGGAGGGTTGTATCGATGGCTTTGGACGTGTGCTGGTTAGTCTGTATGGGGAGGGGGATAGGGGGTTTGAAACTTTGGGGTCATGCAGGGTTGATGATGTTGTTGTTTAATGATTGTCAAGTTAGCGATACATGGACTGGCGTTTTTTTCTTCTCGTTTTTGTCTTCGTCTTCCTCATGCTGGTGGGGGTGCGGAGACTACGGATCATGTGTCCTGGATAGTTGCGAAATGTTTTGCATGGCAAGAAGTATGAATCTCATCGCAGAGAATGCTTATTCCGCACTGTGCTTTCGACTGATTGAAATGCTGCCTTCACGGAAAAACAATCTTTGGAACGGGGAGATAGCTTGCAAAACGCTCAGTCGTCATTAATGTAAGAGGAGAGATTACACATGGAAAGCCATGACATGAGACATTGAAACCCTTCACCCTTCACCCTCTTATACCACACAGCCATCATACCCCCAACTCAACACCCTCCCATACGTAGAGAACCTGGGCGTGGTTGCGCGTCCATATTGCCTCTATCCATCTTCTCATCCCTTTTTATCCGCGTCTGGAAATGTACACGAGGAGTGTGGGTTGGTATATACGTTCGCTACGTTGCAGAGCGTCATTAGGTTAATTATACGGGCCAAGGGGATTATAAGCTCGGCGGGGTTTAGAAATGGAGAGAGAGAGAGTGGGGATGTGGGTGGGAAATACGGTACGCAAGTTGTGGTATATTGTGTTGTATTGCATGGTATTGCATGGTATTGTATTGTACTAGAGGAAGCAAGATAGGGTGTCGTGTTTGACCGGGATATGGATGAGGTTGGTGACTGTTTACTGTTGTGGATTTTTTTATTGCTTAAAGGATGTTTTGCTCTTTGCGTGGTTTACAGCATACTCGCATAGCATGCAATTTGCACGATACATCATGCACAATGTCCACTGTAATGCGCCACCACAAACAATCGCTAGAACGCCAGGATCCCCCAGAAGCTCAAAGATATTGCTACTCCAAGCAGAAAGATCGGGCAGGGTACCGACAGCACAGGATATGTAAAGTGCCCACGCTACTAGTACTGCACAAGTTCACAGGAAAGCACCTGCGTGCTAGGGATGGAAATTTCTTCCTTCTTTGTTTCTCTGCTTGTTCCTTTCCCTCTCCACTGAAAAACACACCGCCCAACCGCCCAACCGCCCAACACCCCCACACTAACAACTTTATTCCTCCAGATGACAGCGCGGGACAGAGTACGGTGCTCCCTGAGGTATACGTCCGATTTCTACATCGGTCTTTTTGCTCGTCGGGGACTCCACTCCACTTGCACTCCCCCCCCCTTTTTATTCCCCACCGGGGTCGGAACCGAGGTGCGTGGGTATATCTTCCTACCTACATGGGAGCGGTGTTACATAACCGGCCTCATGTGTACCTGGTCTCTCTACAGCGAGGGACAGGTACAGGTACATAGATACCACGTGCGCTAGAGCAGCGGTCGGGGGATCCGTCCATCCCGACACACTGGACACATGAGGATCGTGCAAATCGTGCATAAAGGGACCATAGAGGATCTGCAAATGTGGTTCGCGGGACTAGAGTGGCTTTTGCTGCTCGCATGTCTGTGTGGTCCCATGGGTTATTGTACCATGTACTGTAGGTCCCGCCAGTCGCGTCAGCAAATGAGTGGGTTGGACAAACGTGGGCCAGAAGAGAGGGAGTGAGAGGGGAATTGACCGCCATGGCATCTGAACAGGTAGGTTCGTTGCCTGACCATCCTCAGACCAGCCGAGTCCAAAGAGGGCAAAAAACCACGCCGTCTCAAGGCACCATCCGTCCGTGAGAGATCTTCCGGCCCTTTGACCCGCGCGAGGGAAGGTAACCCGCCCGTCGTAGTCAGCAAAAAGGCGTGGGAAATCAATAGGGGCAAGTTCCAGACCAGGCTGTCAGCACCATGGTAATCTTGCTTGACCGATGAGTCCAAGTGCGAGAAAGCCGGTGCAGATCGACAACCCGAGCCACGGCCGCAGGGGGGGGGGAATGAACAAGAACAACAAAAAACCAAAAAGACCATGACGGCGCATGCGCAGGGAGCTGACAGAAACTGGTCGCCAACGGGATCATGTATGATAATCGGCGGGTGTTGAATGTTCTTTAGTCAGCGGGCCCAGGGGAATGGACATGGGCGATCATCGCTATAGCGACATTACCGAACGGCGAGCGTTGGCACGAGGGTGCGCGCTGTGTTGCTGGCCCGTGGGGAAGAATTGCATGGTGGTATTTTGTCTGCGGACACAGCGCCGGAGCCCATGTTGTATATCGTAGCGCGATGATGATCTTTCCAAGAGGAGAGGCAACTTTGTCGCCCTTTGTTATGATGATGCATTGTTCCTCGCTTAACGGCTTCTTTGGTTTGCTTCTTTCCCCAGTCCGACCCAGCTGTAGCGCTGCTGGAAGTGAAGTAGCAGAGTCTGTGTTACCGACGGTGCTGAAGCGGTTGCCACGGTAGGGAGATGGGAGATGCCATCTTTACCCGCTTTTACAGGCCGGATGGGGGTTCTCAGTGTCTCTATGCGGGTCGACCTGTTTACCCAATTGAGATGTCATTCGTGGCTGTCCCAAATAAAAAGACCGACAGCTGTATGTGGGCGACGGGCCCAAAACGGGCCATGCGCTCTTCCTTGGCCTTGATTGGTACGGAAACTGGTTTCCATGGCTTACCTACAGTATGTACATACAATAGATTCACGGCGGCGTCCCGCTGGCGGCTGAGGCATCCCACCCCCCACCTCTGACGTGAGACCGTCTAGGAAGATTTGGCGGCTTCGAACTCGTCGGGGACCGTACACACCGCATCAGCGGGCAACGCCAGTCGCCGTCAGTGTGCAAAAGCCGCCGCGGCTTCAAAAGGCGCTGTAATGGGACGTTGGTTGCAATAGCCGCCCCACGCGATCCGCACCAAGGATGCCGATTGCATTGAGCGATCATCCGACGTGCAGAAGTAAAAAATAAACATAATGGCAGGCGATACATTGGCTATTTCCCTCTGTAAGAAAGATTAGTTGCGGGTGTTATAGTGCAAGGGGCTTTGCCGAGCGCATATTAAACAATGCCTGGTGGGCGTCGGAGATCAGGCGACTGTAATTTAGGCACTTTAATGCGACGAGGGGCACAGTACTTGGCGAACGTCATAAGCCTGGAGTACGGGATCGACCTCGCGTGCGCTGTTGTGGCTTCGAGAACACCATGCTGACAATAAGATGGTCAATTAATCGTTAGGGATTGCTTTCGCCCCGGGGGGCCGGGAAGGAACGGAGACTTAGGTGGTACACCGGTATGTCGACCATGCTCACTGTTTGGTTTTCCCACGTATCATGTCACACCGAATATTGCCTTTGATTCCCCCATCTTTTGGTGTTGTCAGTTTCAAACTGGATAGGAATACGACGAGCAAGCAGCCTTTGATGTCGGTGGATGAGCTTGTATATGGCTGGTATACCTATCTCGTTGTTTCGATGCCGTCATCATCGTAGGCCTGCGAGCTGGGTGGATGGATACCCTTGTGTTGCTCTGTGTATCGTGGCCATCGTTCATGCGAAGGCTAGGATCTTGACAGATGTTAGTTGATCCTTCAGGAACAGAGATGCCGTCATATTCAACGGCTAAGGTGCTGCTTGATCAGAATACTTGGTATCGAATATCATGTACTGCATACGGAGGTGCAGGGGCAAGTGCGCAAGCCCGAGAGAGGTAGAACAGTCAACCGACAAGCCACTGACCAACAACACAATGAGAAAAAAACACTTACATGATCTGTGCCTTGCATGCCATGCAGCTCACTAGGTAGAGTAGTAACGCCCTCACTCTGACAGTCTTCGATAGATTGTCACATCATCTAATGTAATCATGTTCATGGGCACTTCCGACATCCAGATCGTGGCGGAGTCCTCTGACGCTCGATACGAAAGACGGCAACGATGGTCTCGTGGCCATGAATGTCTCGGTGGTATGCAGTCTGACCTCTCAATACTTGCTGCAGAAGTAGCCTCGGAGGATACTATGCTCTTGCATCCTTAGTTTCGCAATTTGGCTTGTGAACAACACTAGGTTTATACAGTATCTGCACTACATACATACATACATACATACATACATACATACGTACATACCGTAGCGAGTGGGGCTCTAAAGCTGTGCAGTAGTAGGGGAGATTTCGTGTGACGAACGTGCAGGTAGCGCTGGGAAGGGATCTGAGTGGGACCACTCGAGGACTCGAAGTAACAGCACCCCCATGCGTGCTGTTGCCAACCGTCTAGCAGTTCCAGCCGTGGTGTCGGGTGATTTCCGGGCGTGAGGATGAAGCCGCGGTTCAGATGGAGATCATGGCATATGATTGACGTGTCGCAGCAGATTATCATTGCGATCCTACAGGGCCCACACTGTCCATACCTAGCGCTTCCTCCTTGGTGCCCCGGTCACCGCAACAAAGCTGCAGGCGTCAGACAATCGCGCAACGCGGTTGTAACAACCCGCAGCTCCTGCTTGAGTCTTGGATATCTCGTGAACCCAAACGACGGAGGCACGCCAACTGAGCTTAGTTATCCCACGGACTGTCCCATATCTAGCACGATTCCGTTGAAGGGTAGACACAAGGCTCTTGAATATCATGGCACAGTCAAGAGTGGGTCATTTCCAGCAGTGATCAACGTCGATCTCAACTCCTTGATATTCAGGAAGGATCGGAAATCTCGTGGAAAGTCAGTGGTGGAAACGTGCGAGTAGGATTAAGCCACCTGCGCCCGTCGTACGACTTCTACTGTGCACGCTTGGGTGCCGCGGAGAGCGCCAGCGCCTTCTTCACTGTCAGCGAGACGAGATCCATTCTAAGCGCATGACATTATATCTGGATGGGAAACCAGTCTGTCGGGCTCAATGGGCCTCTAAAATACGTGATCTCGGAAATTATGGCCCAGCATGAGAGATCCCGAGGGCAAGAAGGCAGAAAGTTGGCCGAAAATTTGGCGCAATCACAAGCAGCGGGAGGCAGGGTCTCAAAATCCAGAGATAGAGTAGATGGCGGGTCGTTGTTGCCGCGAGCTTTGTACTAAGCTCATGTCAGGTAACGTGCACGAATAGGCGTGCAGTTCTTTTAGCCACTTTGATGGCAGTGACAGGGGAGGGGGCGGTGGGCCAACGCGGACGTTGCGGGTGGGTACGTCCACGATCCATCCTGAAGGCTAGGAACAGAAGCAGCAGCAGCCTTGTTTTGTGTCCAGGAATGTCATCCTGATACGAAAATCCTACTACCCAGATTCATGAAATGATTCAAGTGGTTAGTACCGAAGCAGAAGCTTGTCAGTATCTTCGGCCTGTTGTGCATCTGAGTCGGTGGTCGCCACATACGTAGCAGGCTGATTGCTCTTTGCGGATGTGTCGTCGAATGTAGCCTCTCGGTCAAGGACATCTGCAACGGCCAAGAGTCAGCATATGAGCGACAGGATGGGCGTATCTATTCTTCCCAAGGCGCGAAGAAAGCTGAAACAGCGCGCCCAGCCAGTCACTCTCTCTTTCTCTCGTGTCGATTAGGGCGCTTGTGCCTATGAACCGTCAAAACGACAATTGTGCGACAGGGCGGCCACAAATGGCAGTTATACCGAACAACATGCTCGGAAGTGCGGCGCTTCATTCGGATCAATATGATCAAACCTTATAGAGATCGAGACGATTTACCCGGCAGGCGCAGGAGACAAATGTGACCCGGTTGATCCTAGGCTTGGTCGCGTTGCATCTAGGGTTCCTCTCTTTGGCTGGACGAACGCAGCTCGACGTGATGGTGGTCAGGTTTCATAGTTGATCTTCGCAGGCCCTTGTCGTGGCGTAATGGATCCCGGAGGATGCGCTCGAAAAGGGTGGGCCAAGGACAGGGCCACGAACACCACACTGGCGGATCCAAACTCGCGGTTTACTGTTTCGGCCTTTAGCCATCCGAATCGGGCCGTACATTGGCCTGTACTATGTATGTAATAGCACACTATTCATAAAGTAAAGTTCGACGAAGTGCGGTCTGACCCACGTTTGACATGCGAGACATCAAATTGCACCCTTTCGAGTGGCCAGCGTGACCGAGAAGATTTCGTCCGCCCGCAGTTTTGACCATCTTGGGCCGGGACATTAAATGTGTTTTGGATCCCCAGGGTAGAAGTCGATTGATTTGCAACAAGGCTGGGTTGCATGACGAAACCAGATGGATACTTCTTTCAGCGTCCATGCGGCTTCAATGGCAACTCCTTGAGTAGCTTTGCTCCAACTTGCAGGATGCGAGGTTGCTTACATAGTACATGTGGGGGTTTTTTCCTTTCCTCCGCATCTTCTTCATCCCTGCTGCTAGTAATAAGGCCGGAAGAGGAACACGAGACGGATAAGGATGCCACGCAGCATCCTGCGGGCGATGATTGTAGAAACGACTTCGCATGAGAAGTGTCGGATAGATCTGGGAGCAGGCCATGTCTTTTCAACCCAATTTCCCAGTCACAAACCAAAAGCCTGTTCGTACTGCCTGAGGCTGTTCCTCCTACATGGCGTACTAGGGATGAACGCCTCTCACTTGCAGCAAAGAGAGTTGTCAGTTTGGCAACACACCGAACAAGCAGTCCAAAGCATCGAGTAAATCTTTGAAGGTATACATGTACGAACCATACTGTAGGAACTGTGTAGGGCGAGACCTCGGTCCCTAGTGCCATGCTTACTGCCGTAGTGATGTAATACATAACAGCCCTAATCCACAGCAAGATCTAAGTTGTTTAAAAGCAATAGAAGGAGTCTGTTGTTTAGTGTCTCTACTTCTTCTTACTAACCTTATAGTGATCCTGTTACTCAAATTGGTGAAGGTTTTCTGGGCCCTTGCTGGTTACTTTGCTGCAAGCAATGTACTTTTATGTCTTTTTTACTGTTCGCTCTCACCGGTATCTGACGACACACTTCAGCCAAAACCCCCTAGTATTCCTAACGCGTTTCTAGTCTCCCTCATGGTTCAGCTCCGTTGGTCAGCTGCTGCTCCGGGCCACACTGGTAGATGGTCTCTTTCCGTGATTCCATGGTCAATCGGCTCTTCCGCTTTGTCCAGCAGGGAAACTGTACCTGCAAATTGAAATCCGGTTCAGGCTCGGAAGGTGCGCGTGATGGAAACCTATTTGATTCCAAGATTCGGATGAGATCCGTGAATTTCACAATGTCTCTAGAAATCGCCGCGCAACAAGGGCTGAAGATTGCCCAGTACTCTTGAATTCGGGAGCCTAGGCGCAGCATTCGCAGCCTGGGTACAGGGCGGCTGACGCCTGACGATGTCAACTGTCATTGGTTCACCGACGACGGGCGGATGTTGGCGGTAAGCATACTTTGCTCTCGCCGAGAACGATCGATGTACATGCTTTCCTATAGGAACAACGTGTTACTTCGGGGTCTCGTCTGTGGGGGGCGTCATTATTTTGGCACGCAGGAATACCCCATTCCAGGATCGTACCACTCCGAACAAAGCGTCGTAGTCGATCGCCGGGATGTTGTGCGCATGTGAGGGACTAGCATGTGAGGGGGGCTAGGCAGAAGAAAATCGAACAACGCCTTGGATGATTTCGGTCTAGTGCAATCAATCCCACACTTTAGCCGGACACTTGGGGATGGTCCCTGGTGCTTCGACATGTGAAGCGAAGCACATCAAGTGTCTCGGGTTCCCGTCGGAGCCCGGTTGTATGGAGATTGAAGGTATGTAGTTACCCAGAAGACGGCAGGTAGATTGAGCATCGTTGGCCATATCCCATCTCCTCATGGAAAACTCTCGGACGCCACTGTGATGGGTATGATGCCGCTGTATGCCGATTCATGACATGCCGAGACGATGTGCTCGGGAAGCACAAACGGAGCATCATGCGGCCCACGTATCGATGCTCCTGGCAATCCCACGCACCCTGAAACTAAGAAATATTGGTTCTCGTCCCGGACGATCATGCAGCTCAGGCCTTGACCATCTTTCGTCCGGGTGCGGATGTACCTATGCTTGTGAAGAAGGGAGACTTGAGGATGGGTGATGAGATATACAATGGCTCAAAACGTCAACACGTGGTATCAAACGAAGACGGGATCGAAGACGGCGCCATCGTTGTGCTACTGGTGAGAACATGTCGAGTGTTTCTTCTCTATCGAGGGAAAAGTCAAGAAAGCATGGGTACCTGTTGCGTGGGAAGCCTTCTCCAATGCAGTGAGTGTCAGCTTGTCCGTCGAGACGGCGACTTGCGACTCCTTCTCATGGCCCATCTTACTGTGTACAGATTCCAATACGGATACTCCATCGCAAAATGATAGCTGTGATTACAAGTTGCGCATATTCTGACGTGACGCGAAGCCCAGGAGGCGCCATGAAACACGCATAGCGCTCTGTCCTCACAACGTCCGGTCGCAGCTCCATGTGCATACGACGTGAGGCATGAGAATGGTACCGAGTGCCCGCAGCAGGTGGAGGAGTATTGGCACATGGACAAATATCCGCTGATTGGTGGTGCATGTCGATCGTCGCCCGATCTTGGGTCCAATAAGTGCTCTTATCACATCACTAAAGCCGACCAGGTAGGCAGGTAGATGGTATGCGGTGCTACATACACACTCGCGTGCTGTGTGCTTCGAGAAGCCGCGCTGGAAAGATTCGGAGGTAAATCGTGTAGCGGGACGTCGCTTAGCTGTGCTGGTGACAGCCAACGTGGCCCCGGGGTTGGCTGCATGCGCTTGTGCTGATCGACCCGTCTGTTTCTCAAGATCCTCCACAGACGAACCGGGCCAAGACAAGGGATAGCGCCGCCATCCACCCAGGCGGCGCCGAAAAAAGGTCGTCGCGTACGGGGGACGGAGAGGCTGCTGAATAAAGGTATAAGCCGTCCAGCCATCGCTCGACTCTCTCCCGCGCCTGCCATGGTGCGGAATCTGATGCAGCCCATACGGCCTAATTTCTAGCGGAGGGAGTTTGCCGAAGAGCGGGAGAATGATGTGCGTGTGCGGGTGGGTGCGAGAGGAGAGAGAGGATACATGGACTTTTGGTGAGGCCAGAGGGTGGCGAGGATAAAACGTCGATGTTGGTACGGTAATGCCGCACGGCAGAATGGAAGGCGAGTCGGCATTGTCACACGCGTCTTCCCATAAGCTGTGTAGGTAGAGCAGATCTGTGACACGGCGCTGGCGCTTTGCGAGAGCATTGGAGGGTGTGACAACGGCCTCTCAAACGATTGCGGCACGCCATAGACGGTACGTCGCTTCGCGAGCGGCTGCAGCCTGTGTGTGTGTGTGTGTGTGTGTGTGTGTGTGTGTGTGTGTGTGTGTGTGTGTGTGTGTGTGTGTGTGTGTGTGTGTGTGTGTGTGTGTGTATGTGTGTGTATGCATCATGGCTCACGGATCCTCTCTACTCCTCGAAATGGACTTGTGAAATTGCAGTCCACCGAGTGGCTTGTCCAAAAAGTACCTGAGCCCATATGCGGTCAAGCCCTTCCGCCAGCACGTACATGCAGGATTAGACAGTATCTGAGCTTGGAGCAGCGCTCAGTCCGCTTGTTAATTGCAACCTCCTCTTTGCCAGCACGGAGGGCGATTGCTTTACCTAGGACGCACCGGCACGTATTCTCCGGACCCTATGATGGACGAGATGAGAAAGGAGGGCGGCCGAGATGTTGCAGCATGCACATTGCACACGGTGCAGTATCGCGTCTGGCTCCCTCCCTATCCCATAATGGCTGTGCCGTCGTCTACGGCAGCCTCTGCCGTTTCCCAGCGGCGACCGCCCCTCCCTTGTACAATCCTCTCGTCAGCCCATTTCGCCATTGTCTTGTGGTCGGCTACACAATGCGCAGAAGGGAAACGTGGCGCGGCGGACTGCTCGAGGCCACTTGAAGCCGGTTCTGGGCCTTGGACTGTTTTGCACTGCGAAGAAACAAAGTCGATGGCTGTTGAAGCTCTTGCCTTCCTGCCCTTCCTTCGCGTAGGTGCGCAGTACCCGAAAGCGGGCCCGTGCAGAAGACCCTAGGCGCCGATTGCCAAAGTGCCTGAGGCCGCCGTGCTCGTCTCGCTGCAGGGAGGGGTTGACAGGCCGTCGGCGACTCTCGAGGTGTTGTGTGGGCTGTCACCTGTGTGTGGTATTGTAGGCATGTACCGATACGGTACTGTACCGGTATTGTACTCTATGTACTATACTCGTACTACAGGGTATCTAGGTAACCACCCATCATCCATGTACCCTACCTAGCTATGTATCCAGTACCCGTACCGAAAAAAGACGCCTAGAAAAAGCCTAGTCAAGTGCGCAGGGAGATGGAAGGATAGATTTGCACATTGATGGCCGCTAGCATGACGGTAGACAGTAACGGCAGTGAGGGGAAGGGGGAGACAGGGAGACAAGGGAGAGCATGTGTGTGTGTGTGTGTGTGTGTGTGTGAGAGAGAGAAAGGGCAAGTGTGCGGCGGGCGGGGACAAGGGGGGTTAGGGCCCAAGGTTGTTCCGCTCCGGTTGACGATTGGAAGGCATAGCGATGATGGGCTGGCGTGGCTGGCGTGGTTGCGTGGTTGCGTGGTGGTGCGTGGTGGGCGATGTGTGGTGTGGTGCGGTGCGGGTGCGGTGCAATAGCGACAGTAGCCTGGCGACCATGGCTGCCGAGTTTCCCAGCTGCTTGCTTGCTTCCGCCGCCCACGAGGATGCGTGCTCAGGTGCTCTGTTCTCCTGGAACGGTCGATCTGCAGTGCATGGCGGCCTGTCCTTGTGTGTTGTGTGCCGACCGGGGGGGGGTGGGTTTGCTTGCCCTCCCAAAACCGCTCCTGCGCCGGGGGACCGCCTGTGATGGGTGGGCGGATCCCTCGGTCAAGCGCTC